CGGAGATCTGGGCCCCACCTTTGCGCTCCGCGTCGCTATCCGCGTCGCTGCCGAAGAGGTCTTCCATGTCCGCCATCGTACCGCACCGCGGCCACCTCCACCGGGGCCGCCGCGCCGCTCTTTACGGCTCTGAGCCGACGGGACGCGACAGTGTCGCAAACCTCACGGGCGGAACTGCTTTCCGACCTGACTGACTTTCCGGCTCCGCGCGGCCGGAAGCCCCGCCCCTCTCTGGCGTGTCCCCTTACGCCGCGCGCTGTTCCCGGCGGTGTCCTCATCTGGGCACCCGGGCTTGGACTGTGGGCTGCTTCCCCTCGCAGAAGTTGTGGAGGAGTCCAAGACCTCTCTGTTTACCTGTGTGACAGCTGCTGATAGTTACTGTGTTCATAGTCAAATCAGATTTCCTTTATTTTTGTTTGGTTTTTGAGTCGTGTCCCATGTGGTGCAGGCTGGCTTTGATTTGAAGCTGCCCAGAGCGGCCTGGAACTCGAGATGCTCCTGCCTCATTGTCCCGACGACAGGCGTTCGCCACCACGCCAACCAGTTAATTTAAAAAATTATTTCCATTTTGCAACCAGCTTATACAGACTGTAATGTGTGGGTGGGACGTCTTGACAGTGAAGTGAACGACACAGGTGATACGATGTGATGTGATAGGGGTTGAGCAAAGACAGACCCTAGAGCTGAGCAGAAGGGAAGGTGGAAGTGAGCACTGCTTTCATGGGTGGTTTTTTGTTTTGGTTTGGTTTTTTGCTTGTTTTTGTAGCTTATCCATGTATTTTCGTTCTCTATAGAGTACTGGAGAAAAATTTTTCCCAAGAGCAGTCTCCTTTCCTAATTTTAGGCCATGTGTCCAGCACACAGTGATCACACTCACTGTGCACGCAACACATCTTAATTCCCTTTGTGTTGCCTCCTCTCCCATCCCTCCCCTCCCTCCAAATGTTAAATTTATTTTTAAAAAGTACATTAACATATAGCTTTATTTAGTTTGTTTTCAGCTGTTCAAGACAGGGTCTTACTATGTGCTTCAGGCTGCCCTTGAACTCACCATGTGGCCCAGGCTGACCTCAAACTCAATGATTCCAGATTGCTTGGATTACAGCATGCACCACAGGCCTGGCTAGCTTTCTTTAGTTTTGGGATTTTTGTGGTGGTGGTGGTGGTGGTGGTGGTGGTGGTGTTTTTTTGGTTTTGTTGGGGGGGTGTTTTGTTTTGGTTTTTTTGTACCGGGATTGTCTTTAGTTTTAAATGACTATTTTTTAAATGAAAAAGTAGAAGGGTGAGGCTTATTTTCCAGTTTTGAAAATGCTGTCTGGCTCAAAAGAAGACAGCCCCTGTTCTCACACCCTATGCCATTTCCCACACCCTGTGTTTCTTTGAAGCAGTGGAAGAAAATGTAGCCTCCTGCATTTAAGTTTGGAGGGAGGCTTTCTTGGATCCCTGGAGTGCTCCTCAAAGCCATTTCTGACAGTCGCAGCTTCACGGTTGTGTTTCTCAGACTTAAAACAAGTTTCCATCCTAACCCACTCTGTGTTCACTTGGTACATGGTTTATGACATGGAAACAGGTGCTTCACAAACATTATTTCCCTTACTACTGAGTGCATTCTGAGGTTTCCTATCCTCTTATATTTGATTTTATTTTGTTTTTTTAAAAATGCTGGCAGGTGGTACAACCCCCCCCCACTTTTGGGGGGGTACCAGGGATTGAACTCAGGACCTTATGCTTGTGAGGCAGGCACAGTGCCACTGAGCTAAATCTCCAGCCCTGCAACCCACTCTTGAAGATTCACGACTTACTGATGGATTGCAAGCTGCAGGTAGAAAAACACTGCTGGGTAGCTTCCACTGGCTTGTTTAGCAAGAAGTTTGATTTTGCTAGATAATGTTACAGCTATACATTAGAAATGTGTAGCAATGGCTAGTGCTAGATAAACCCCCTTACTTTTCAGGGGCTCAGAGAAATGAAGTCATCAGCCAGTAAAAGAGCTCCACCTCAGCCTACTGAGACTGGACCAGAGCTTCACGTGATACACTAGCCTGAAAGCTTACATTTTAGTTTTTTAAAATACACATCCAGCAGGGCATAGTGGTATACACCTGTAATCACAGCCCCTGCCCAGCACCTCAGGACCAACCTAGGCCGCATACCTGGCATCAGGCCTGATCTGGCCATGGCCTAGTTAATGAATATGTTGTTTAATTCCAAGCTACCAATCTACCAGATACAAAAAACCACAGCCCTCAGCAGAAACATGCTGCTCCTTCAAGTGGCTAAAGACCAGATAAGAGTGTGCAGTCTCTACCTAGTTACAGGCTGTGCCACCTCAGAGCAAGCGGAACAGGGAATGGAATGTTACAGAAAAGAGATAAGACTACTCCATTTACTGTAAACTGCCATACCCCAGGGAGATCTAGTCTTTTCTGAGTACTCATGGACAGAACTGGCTTTCAGGAGAGAAACTGATCAGAACGAAAGGAAAGAAGGGAACCTCACAGTTTCTCTTCCCAGCAGGAAATACACAATGGACAACTCATTTCTTGGAAGACTCTAGGCTGCACTTGATGTCTACGTTTATTAAGATTCCTTAATTATTTGGGTCCCACATCAGGACAGAAAAATAACAGCAAGCTGAGCATGGTGGTTCACACCTGTAATCCTAGCTCCTCCTCGGGAGTGTAAAGCAGGAAAGTTCCAAGTTCAAGGCCATACTGGGCAAGTTGTCTCAAGGACAATTTCTGAGCAGTCTGGAGATAGCTCCAAGGTAGAGTGCTTGCCTGGTTGTACACAGTGCCCACAAAAAGGAAGTAGCAAACACAGTTTCTTCCTATCAGAGTCTAGAGGTCAGGAGCAGTGGCACCCACCAGCTGCACAACTGAGGTGGGAGGGTGGAAAGTTCAAGGCCATCCTGGGCCACATAGCAAGATCCTGCCTCAAAAATAATGAAGCAGAAATTCTAAAACGTTGGAAGTGTCATGGGCCGTGCCTGAAGATAGCCTTTCACCTAAGTCCTACTCCCTTTCTCCTCCATAGATTAGAGAGTCAAACAAAAAGTCTGTTTGACTAAGATTGTAGGTCCTGGATGGCACAGCCCCAGGAGACAGTTACATCCTTGTTCCTTTTCTGCGCATGCCCCCATCAGGATCTAATCACAGCCTGGGCCACATCGGCCTCGTGTCGTCAGTCACCCCGTCTTCCCACACTGGACGCCAGGTGGCCATTAGCTCATCAGGCGAGGTCCTCCCTGGCCCCAGCTGTCCTGAATAGTCTTGGTCCCGCCACTCTCCCTCAGGACCCTAAGCTGCGTGGGTCTCGGCATGGAAGGATTTCCACTTTTGAAGTAAATTATAAGCTATGTACAGGTGCAGGTGGGGTTAGGCCAGGTTTCTTAGGGTGTCTTAAACTAGATTAATGAAGTAAGAGGAGGCCACCCAGATCTTGAAGCAGAAAGCTGAGCAGAACCTGAAGTCCATCCAAGCAAGGCTCCAACTCGTTTATCAAATCTATTCCTTGATTCGCGTGAAATTTCAGAACCTGGGGATAAAAAAGAACATTCTAAAATCTTCTACAAGAAAACCCAGTTGACATATGAAGGATCTGGAGTTATAACAGCATCGTTTTCAGGACTGTAATCTCAGCCCTCTGGGAGCCTGAGGCAGGAGAATCACAAATTCAAGCCCAGCCTGGGCAATTTAGAGACTTAGTAAAACTCTGCCTTAAATTAAAAAAAAAAAAAATGGGAAAACTGGGCATTGTGAAGCATATCTGTAATCCCAGTACTTGGGAGGCTGAGGCAGGAGAGTTGCCTCACATTCAAGGCTAGTGTTGGCTACATACTCAGTTCAAGGCCAGACTGAAGTACACAGTGAGACAAAACAAAATGAAATGAAACAAAACTGGCCTGGGATGTGGCTTAGAGTGAAGGCCGTGGGTTCAACTCTCAGTACTAGTAGAAGAGAAGCGTCTGTCTTCTAAATACTGTGGATGTCAGAAAGCCATGCCCTATGCTGGGTTGCTGTGCATGGAGTGTTACGCGGGGGAAGCAGAGCCTGAGCTGCCACCCTGAGCAGAGTCCAAACAGGGCCTCGGACTCAGCCACGGACCGCAACCTCCGGAGGTAGCCCGGCCACTGCCCAGCCTGTCCAGTCACCTCAGTCACACAGGCAAGACCGGACTGCAGCAGCGTGATGCTATGTTCTGGTGTTCTGACGGGAGGGCTGGTTGGCTTTGCAGAGCGTACAAATAGCCCAGCTTTTGTGAGGAGTGGGCAGGGTCCACGCCAGCACCGAGAACCAGGTCCTTGGTGCGGTTGAATAGATTCGGTCCAGTCAGAACCGGCCAGCGAGGAGCAGGCAGAGTGTGCTGGAGAGCGGACACGGAGAGACACACAGGAGTTCTCAGAGGTCCAGGTAACTGGGTGATTACCACACTTATCCACACTTTTTAGGGTTTCCTTCAAGACTATCCACTTGTCTCTAAAGGAAAAGTTTCTAGGTTGTTTATAGGAAGGTTTTTTTTCATTAGTTGTTTCAGAGAGAGAGAGTATGTGTTTGTTTTCTGAAAGGGTCTTGCTGTGTAGCCCAGGCTGGCCTTGAACTCAGGGCGCTCCTCCTGCCTCAGCCTCCCAAGTGCTGGGACTACAGGTGTGCCATGCCCAGCATTTCCAGTTTTAACATTTGCATTTTCCAGGCCCATTACAAAGCTATTAAATTCTTTTCTTTCTTTCTTTCTTTCTTTTTTTTTTTTGGTACCGGGAATCGAACTGGTCCTTGTGTTTGCAAGGCAGGCTCATTAAATTCTAAATGGTGGTGCACTACTGGAATTCCAGGAGACAGACGAAGGGGCATTGGAAATTTGAGGCCTAGACGACACAGAGAGTTCAAGGCCAGGCCACCCTGGACTGTGTAACAAGACCCTGTCTCAAAAGCAAAAACACCAAAAAAGTGAGGTTTGTGGGTGTTTACCCCGCTGACATGAAAGCTATCCGACCTTAAAGCTGATTATCGCTGGAAGAGTTTTCCGGGCGCCCAGGGAAAGAAGAAAGCAAACCGCCCGTCATTAAGCTTAAACTGTTTTCCAGAAGGGCAGCAAACCCTTTCCACATCCCCACCGCTCGCCCGCTGCAAGATCCCGGGCGAGGGAGTCTGCACCCC